AGAGAGAGAGAAGCCGCGTGAGCATGTTTCTGCCCTGCGGTCGAGATGAGGTGAACCAATATACATTTCATGAAATAGCCGCCGGTACTCCTCGCCGCCCCGCCGAATGGCGGGCCATTCAAACTGTCTCGGTGCAACATCAAAGTGGCGCGGCAAAAGGGAAAGCCTCTTACGTAATGTATGGCAGAATAAAAGGGTCGCAGCCCGGCCCGGCAGGTAGAAGTGCGAGAGAGAAAAAGTAGAATGATGGAGAGAGAGAGAGAGAGAGAGAGAGAGAGAGAGAGAGAGAGAGAGGGGGGGGGGCAGCCGGCAGGCGTAAGCATAGAGTCGAAGAGAAAGAGAGAAGGGGGAGGGGGCAGAAACGCTGAGGTGTATGACACGAGGGCGCGCGGTCACACCAAAAAACGTAAAAATGGGAATCGCGCTGAATCAGGCCTGAATGGTGAGAGTCGGAAGGCGTGGCAAAATGATATCGAGGCAAAACGGGGCACGTGGTCGGGCCGGGACGAGGGGTGGGGCGGCGTGGGGAAGTGGCGAGGGAGGATAAGTGGCCCTCGCGCACGGTCTCCTCCAGTTGCTTTTGGACCGTACCAAGTACCGTACATTATTTGCTTTTTGAGGCTCTCTGGGAAAAAAAATGTGAGGTACCGAAACCGATCGAAGCTCTTTGTTTGTCCTTTCCAAAAGCTCCACGTTGCTGCTTTCAATGCGTATTGACATTGTATCCTCCACACCCTATTCATACACATTTTTCTTTGACAGGTGGTGGAGGGAGAGTATAGGGGAGTTACCGGGGGTTACAGTTCCACATTCTCTTTTAATTCATATCTTTGGGGACAGCTGAGTAGAGGTTGATACACTGGAAATGCAAGTGTGTGAATGTCGCTCACCTGCAGGTGAGCGACATTCCATTCGTACACTTAGGGGGCTAAAGGCGTGAATCTTTCCTAGAAAATTCACACGTTTACCCCCCCCCCCCCAATTGTACGAATAAAATGTCGCTCACCTGCAGGTGAGCGACATTCCATTCGTACACTTAGGGGGCTAAAGGCGTGAATCTTTCCTAGAAAATTCACACGTTTACCCCCCCCCCCCCAATTGTACGAATAAAATGTCGCTCACCTGCAGGTGAGCGACATTCACACACTTGCATTTTCAGTGTATGTTGGTGGGCGAATCGGGGGGTGAAACCGGTGAAACCCTGCTGTCGTTTACCCGTCCAAACAGTGAGGGAGAAGAAATTACATCTTGACCACCTGGGGTGGGGGTGGGGGGAATTGGTTGACCCCCCCCCCCCCCCCGATCCCACTTTCCCAACAGCGGGCGAGCGCAGCCCGCCGCCGCCGCCTCCAAATCCAGTGAGTATCTCTCGGCTTTGAAATCAAACTTTTTCGCCTGTGCCGCTGCTCTCGCTTTGAGTTTCGTTTTGAGCAGCAAGGTGAAAGTGGGACAGAGTTTATATTATGGAGAAAGGGAAAAAAAGGGGGCAAGTTACACAGGGACTCGAGGGAAAAAATGTATGAGGCAACATCGGCGGCTGTAGGGTTGGAGAAGAGGAGACATTTGTGCGTCGCAGCAGGACAGAAAAAGGGGGAAGGGGGCGGAAGACAGAGAAGAGAGATAGAGAGGAAAGGGAGAGGGAGAGGAGGGAGAGAGAGAGAGAGAGAGAGAGGGAGAGAGAGAGGGGGGGGGGATATAAGGCGGGGAGGGAAGACCAAGAGAGTTGGCACAAAACATTCGGCCGTGAAGTCAGCAGCGATCGTGTTGTCATGAATTTTTCACTGTCTGACGGAGAAAGGGGATGTGACGGGAGAGACAGAGAGTGAGTGAGAGAGACAGGGAGAGAGAGAGAGAGAGAGAGAGAGAGAGAGAGAGAGAGAGAGAAGGCGTGGATTGATTGCTGTCGGCATTGCATGGAGCATGTTGCAGCTCTCCGGGGCCGATGAAGATATCTGGCACTGTCTTGTCTGCTGCACAGCAGCACACGGCCACGGCCCCGCCCCGCCCCGCCCCGCCCCGCCCCGCCGCTCCACGCAGCGCCACGCCACGCCTGAAATGAAACAAAGCTGGTCCGGTTGTGTGCGCATTGTGAGCGATATTACTCACGACGGCGAAGGATTTGTTTGGGGAGGCAGAGCAGGGTGGAGTGGGAGCCGTGGTGGGAGCGTCGACCAGGGACACGGCGGTGGCGCGGGGGCGGCCGCGGGGGCGGGGCGTGCTGCTCGCTGTGCGCCCGCTACGCTACGCCTCGCCTCACAAGTGTTGTCGGAGCAGTTTGCCCCCGAAATGATCAACGGATCACGACGAGTTCGTTTTTTTCCCTTGCCTTTTTTATTTTTTACAATGTTGCGGAGGGAAGCAAAGACCTGCGCGCACAGGAGAAAAAAAATGGAAACAAAAAAAAAAAAAAGGGCCGAGAGGGATCTTATTTTGAGTGTATTTCCACTTGTTGGAAACGGTGCGTCTCTTTGGCGTGAAATGGTCTTTTCGCGACGAAACTCATGGAAAGTGTTGTGCCTTCAGAGCAGTACTGGTCAAGGCTCTTGTTTTTCCTGGCTGCACTGACTTAATTACTATTCCACCGCTCAGTGACTTCCTTGGAGCCGCAAACCCGCCCAAAACCCAAAGCACTCAAAAGTAGCGGGAGAAACTATCAATGGGGCGGTTAACTATAAATTTCGGCTAAACACTAGTAACTGTGCGGTCGAAATTATTTCCTTGAAAACCACAACTTTGTTTATGATTGTTGATTTTTTTGCTCTTTCGTGGCTTGTTTGCAGTGCATGACCAGTAAACGAGGAGTCTGATTCGAGCCGTCCGCTTTCATACTACTGCACCACCGCACTCGAGCCCCCGGCGGACAGGCTGGTTCCGCTCATTGTCCCTGACTCCACTGCGGCTCGTGCGTGTAGACAACCCGCACGCGCGCTTGCATGCGGTGTCCAGCTTGCGGGGGGCGAATAAGCCACCAGGTCATGGAAACACTTGTAAAAGTAAAATGAAATTGTATCCATGAGAATCAAGGCGCTGCCGTATATTCAAGATGGACGGACAATAAGTGTTGTTACCATGCCAATTTCTTCCTGCACCCAGAGGTCAACCCATTCATATGTGAGTTACATTACTATGAGTCGATAACACTGGACATTTCCGCCGATGAGTGTGTCGATCCCACTATCCACATCAACTCCCCTTGTCGTTCCCTGATCGGGCGATACTGACGTCAGCCCTCAAAGTGAACGATCGTTCCGCGATTTTCCTGACCCTGCCTCCTCTCTGATTCGATTGTCTGGACGGGGCGGCCGTTACGTATCAAACGACGGCCCCACAAGTCGCCCCGGACCGCGCGGCCGCGGCACCAAGCACCAACAATTTGCCTCGGTGGCGATCAACGGCGGTGGAACAAATGCCTTTCTCTTTTCCGACCGATTTCCTCGCCCCTTCCCATTCCCAAATTATGTCTGAAATGGAACTCCGATTTCCCCCCCTCCTCCCATCGCTTCGCCAGCCACTACGCCTCGCTCCGCCACCACCCGGACGTTGGCTGCTGCAGGAGCTGGGCCGCGTCGCTAGAGTGGCGGGGCGTGGCGTGGCGGGTCGTCGCCAGCAGCCGCCCCCAATCCTTCTGTCATTCCCCCATCGGAGTGAGCCATTCCGCTACAAACGCGTCGGCGGGAGGGATGGGGACTAAGGAAAGGCTTGGGGAGAGTCAAGGGTCAGAGGGCCGTTCCGTCCTGGCGCTCACCCTCCTCCCGCCACCTCCCCATTCTCACTCGCCTGCCCTTTTCTTGTTGTCGCGGTCCTTAATTCTTCGGCCTCCTAGACCTCATCTAAATCGTCGTCGTCGTCGTCGTCGTCACCCTCCGCTTTCCTGCTTCGTTTCCCCTTATTTGTGCCTTGTTCGTGCTTGACCGTTAATCCGCGTGTTCTTCCTGCCGTTCACTACCTTTGGATTGCAAAGGCTGTCTTCATTTCAGAGCAAACAATTTCTATGAAGAAAAAAAACAACACTGCTCACTCCCACCCGCTCCTGCTCACTCCCATTCGCTCTCGCCCGCCCCCGCGTGCCTCCTGCTGGGGCACGTTTGGAGGGCGCCACCACCGGTTATTCATTTCCGGGAATCCGTCGCGGGGCGCGTATTTTTTGCCCCCTTTCCTCATTTTTCTCTCGACCGCGAGCTTGGCGGTGACACCGCCCCGCCACACGCA